GTTCTGCCTTCCCGGTCGTTACGAGTTCCATCATATAAACAGCACGTATTTCGAGCCTTGCACTAAGGGGCCTTTGAGGTATTTGCAGTGCTAAGGAGAATATGCTTCATGAATGGCATGCAGACATTGAAGTCCATTCATAGTGACATCGAGGTTCTCCCACTAGCAAATATAGGCTCCCTAATTAACCCCACTCCACCAATGCGGTGGGTCTACCAAGTGGGAGAAACGAACTGTTTTAACAGTGTGGTGAACGATTTAGAGTACTTGGTACTCTAATATGTGAGAGAACTAGGCCGTCAGAATTATCCAAGTTTTACTTTCTGCGAAGGCCACTTTCATGAACGATCACAACATCGTCAAAAATGCATGAATTCCGCAATCATTATCAACGAGGCCCTATTACTTCACACTAACATGTACAGAAAAAAGTGGTGAACGATCTAGGAAAGGGGGGTGAGAAAAAGGGGGTAGCGCTCCGCATGATTCGACTTCTACTTCATGTAAGGTGACCTTCTTGAGTTAGCTCGCGCACAAGCAACCCTCTCAAACCCTCATGGTCACCCTAGCAATCATGGGTAATCGCGTAAGCTTAATAAAAACTAGACACCAATATAACGCTATAAAAATAAGTAATATGGCATAATGCATGGAACACACAGCCTTTAAATTCTTTGGGCTCAATATAGGTACCATTTGCAGAAAATTATTTAATCTTCTAGAAATTTTTGGTAAGTTGATTCGCTGAGCCATGCTCCCAAGTTTCAATCATGGCTGCAGAAGTTGCGTATTTTTCTTTCTTCACCATCTTTCTCTCTCTCTCTTCAACACATTAGTCAATGCGTGTGCATCATACGATAATTCTTCTCTCACAGTGGATGCCTTACAATAAGTAAGGTCTCTAAATGAAACAAGTTTCATCTAGGGACCTGAACAATAAGTAGATGCAAATGAGATTTGTTGCTTCGAATATGTAATCCGTGGTGGATATACACATGGAGCATACACAGGTAATTTGTTCATGACAGCAATAGAACCTATTGAAGAGATAAAACTGTAGAAATGGCTATAACTAATGCAGAAGGTATGTACTTGTGCAGTTTACAGAACGTCAATCTTCTACTATAGAAATAAATGTTGGTCAACGCATCACTGAAGAGAGAGAGAGATAAAGATGCAAGGAAAGGCAGGGAGGTTAACCAGACTCAGCATCACTGAAAGAGCATGCACACATCAATACTATGAAAAATACCGCTATGATATGGCAGCGCTGGACGACGATGATCGTTGTAACAGGTGAAGCATTTCTTTTCGTTCGTACTTTTTGTTCGTACAGCAGGGAGGCGTCACCGAGTTGTAGGGTAAAAAAAGTTCGGCAGAACTCGCGTACACTTTGGGAATCGTTGTTTATGCGAATCGTGCGGAGGGAAAGTTACTGTGTTGTAATGTTTCTTTATTGAGTGAATTGTTACCAAGTGGTGCTTAAGATATGAACAAATGCACGAAATAGGCACACGTTAAACAGGGCATATGTTTATATAAACAGTTTAGAGTTTCGTAACGATGGCAACAGCAACATGGATTTTTGCAACGCCTGAAGCGACAAGCTGATATGAAGCGCTGGAACTCTCGAGGATGGTAGCCGTGGACACTGCTACATAAATCAACTTCAGCGGATGGCGCTTAACTACGACTGACGTCACTTCGACGTGATGGCCTTATCATAGGAGTGCATATGTAATACGGGTAAAATCGGATATCCCAGCACAGCAACCACAATTGACGTTAAATTAGCATTGAATCTTTTTGAAAAATAGTTCCGAGATCTGGAATATACCACTCCCACCGATATGCGCCACACGTCTGGCAGGAGGGGTTCGACGACGTACGCGACGGGACTGTGTCATTATTCATGTCATGACCAGCGGGTCATATTCGTCACACCATCTTACGCACTTACACTTTTTTTTTGTTTATCCCAAGTTAGGTGGGTGACCACGAGAGCACCCAGACGTAAGCGGCTGGATAGATAGATAGATAGATAGATAGATAGATAGATAGATAGATAGATAGATAGATAGATAGATAGATAGATAGATAGATAGATAGATAGATAGATAGATAGATAGATAGATAGATAGATAGATAGATAGATAGATAGATAGATAGATAGATAGATAGATAGATAGATAGATAGATAGATAGATAGATAGATAGATAGATAGATACGCTCAAAGTCGCCGAAGTTTGCTAAGAAATGCCTTGAATTTAAAAGCTTACATTGGCAGTGTTCACCCAACGAATGCATAGAACAAGTGTCAGGGTCCCAGTATACGTATATGAATCTAACCCAAGCATTCGGCGTGGCAATCAAGCATACTACTAAATAGCCACGCCAGGTCTTGGAACGCCTTTTGAAGTAGACCCTAATGCTCGTTAAACGTCAAATTGTGGTTGCAGTGCTGGCTATATAATTTTACAATCACCACATATGTACTGCTATGATACAGCCGTCATGTCGTGTTAAAGTCAATTGTAGTTAGGTGCCATGCGCTGAAGTTGACTTACGTAGCAGTTGGGCTACCATTCTTGCAAGCACTAGCGCTTCACATCAGCTTATCGCTTTCGGTGTTGCTAATACTCATGTTGCTGTTGGCATTGTTGCGCAAGAGCAAAAAAAAAACTGGTAATATAGGCAACTGCAATGGTTCAACATATCGCTGTGCTGCCACATGTGTACATATACTTAGCGTCATTCCGTAACATATCACTGAATAAAAATAAATACAACATGGTAACCTGCCCTCCGCCTACGTTGCATAACCTCAATTTCAAAGTGACATATCAACCTTCCTCATTCGTGCTTCGCATATCATCGATTCCCACTGTACGTGGGAACTGGCAATTTTTCTTCCTGGGAGTCGAATTTTTACACGGGTGACCCATGGTTGGCCACGACTTTCTACGCAGTCATTTGTTGGAGATAACTGTTGCCATAATTTTTTTATTGTGGAGTATACTGAGTAGTGGGATTCACCGACATTGTGTGGCACATAAACGTTAATGATTATGTCGAAAAACTTATAAGCGACTCGAATAGATTTGGTAGGTGTATCAACTACTCACAAATCTTTGTTCAGCCTTCCTAGTCAAAAGATCTTCAGTCTTTGGGAAATTATACAAAATAGTGTGACTTAAAATGACGACTATTCATAATGAACGGTACATTAAAAATCATCTCAACATTATTTTAGCTCTTACTAAATATTGATCATAAGTTCAGTATGCATGATCCGCCCGACTCATGACCGATCCCCCAGAGTGGGCAGGTGCCAATGATCCAAGAAGCATCATCATCATCAGCAGCATCATTATGAGAGCTTCTTGATACGAGATATCAGGAACAAATTACAGCTCCGATGTTGAAAATGTGATCGGCCACTTCAAGCATTATGACCGCGACGACGTGAGAAGTTATACGTGGTCGCAATCACCCCTTCTTTGATTACATCCGGTGTTGCAATGCGAAGTTCTTCTCTGCAACATCGTTGTTTAACGACAAATTGTTATTGATTGATACGTCATTGCGCACCACTTAAAAAAGGAACAGTTCTGAAACGAAGATCTACGCGAACACAAGCGCAATATTTCAACTAGATTTATTTCACCGTCACATGACGATTTTATAGAATTGCGTTTCACGGTTGCAAAAAAGTGGTGACAAAAATAATTTATATAAAAATACAAAACAGTGAAATACCGCTTGTGTTCGTGTAGTTCATCACCAAAGTGTTCGTCTATTAAGCGATCAACAATAACGTAACAATGAATAGCTGTCATTTCGCCTAAGCAATTACCTCTATAGAATAAAGTTTAGGCCGCTGTAAAGAGGAAACCAAGCTTCAATCAACGGTTGGGAGAGCTCACAAATCTTGCTCTAAAAAAAAACGTCGCGCATGAAATTGTACTTAACAATTGCCAAAATATTGTTCTATGGAGTAAATATAGTAGATAAGGTGTTGTCACTTGCATGCGTTTTTCATTACTCAAAAAAAAAGAAAGTTCACAATGTGGCATATATGTCGCCGAAGCCATGCGGCATGCAAGAAAAATGAGAAGCGTACTATCATGTGGGGTTAAACATGTGCTGAAATTGAGCAATAATTGAAAAGACAATGTAGGAAACATTTAGTACCTTGCCGACGAGCATTTTTAATGAATTGCTGCCCCGAGAGTAGGTAATGAATCCGGAAAACTGGCGGGAACCAAAGAAAATAATGGAATTCATTTATGAGCAATGCTAGGTTGCTGTTTAACGAGTACCTGGCACACATGGACGTTTCGGCCATTTCATTCACTTTTATTCCTTTGTGGCCCTGTAGCTAGATAAATCTGATTGAAATTGCCTGCCAACTCAAGTCATGTCAAGACCCTTGACGATGTGGCGCATACAACGCTGGGGGATTGGTCAAGAACAGGATACTTTTCATATAGAAAGAAGAAAAACAAAAGTGCTCTTCTTTTTTTTTTCGCTGGTATTTAGAGAAATTATTTAGGTTATCAACATTCATTGCCTAGTGTGTGTGAATAGGGATTCACAACATTAGCTAAATCTTTTGACCATTGCACTGTTATGGGCATTAGAATAATAAGAATGAGACTTGAAAAGAGGGTCTGTTGCATACGAAAAGTTGAGTAGCTTCGTTGGAGTTTGACAGCTCTTATCGTCTCTCAGGTTGGAGAGAAAAAAACAAGCACAAATAAAAATGAACCGAAAAAATACGTTACCCCGTCCTGACAATCTCGAAGGCGCTCGCCAAACATCAAACTTGACTTTCCTCTCGCCGAGGCACAAGATGCTCCAGCCGAAAGGACGTAACCCTGCTCACAGCTGAAAAATCATAAATAAACAAAACGTAAACATGTCAGGCAAAGCGGGGACGAAACCGCGTTACCGGTCGGTGATACGTCTCGCCTGCGTCAACCACCGACACGCTGCCCGAAAAGTAGCTACTCGTCAGGCTCCCGCCATACCAGTTTTTGATGCGTGCGTTTTCGTCTTCTTCCACATTCCCTGACAGCCGAGACGCTTTGGCCTTAGAGCGTTGCAAGTTTAGTTTGTAACATCATAGCAGCGCTGTGTGTGCGTTTCATTTTCACTCTGTTGACAGGATCGCGACATGCCGCTGCAACTGACGTATACAGAAATAGGCGGGAACGTTCGATTTGGCGCATCCAGAAGCATCGCTGTGGGTATCAGTTTAGTGTAGCCGGGGTAAGGAAGCGGTTCCGCGCGAGGCGCGAGCGACTCTGGTGGTGTAGAAGAAGAATCTTCCAGGCCTGCGACATGGAGCCCGTCCGGTTTGCGCTCTGCCTCGTCGTGCTCTTCGTGGGACACGTGTGGACGCTAGCGGTGAGCCCTTACTTGCTCTGGCATTTCGAAATGGCGGCCCAGTCTGCCGATTCTCGCTACATGCCTGACAGCGTGCAACGGCTCGGTGAATCGGCACCGGGCGCCTAGCTCCTCTCATCGAGCACTTCTTCGTTACTAAAGTTCAAGTTGTGTACCCCCTAGGAAATGATACAAAAGCGAGAGAACGCGTACTTCGAGTTCAAGAGTATGAAATTTTCTTGTTTTTGAAAAAATCCGGGAGGTGTTTCAAAAAAGAGGTGCGTAGTGTTAGTGCAGCTACACGCCGCTGTGCTCTACTGGTTATGGTGTTGCAGTCCTGACTGATCGCGGAATTGAATCCCGACGAAGGTAGCTGCATTTTTTGATGGCAGAAATGTCTGAGGCACATTCACTGCGATTCGAGAGCGCGTTAAAGCACGCCAGGTGGTCGAAATATGCACAGCTCTCCACTGCGCAGTCTCTCATACCTATATTGTAGTTTGCGGTCTCTAAAACCCAACAATTATTATGTTATGTGATTCAAACTTAGTACAGGGGTCTAGAACTTGTCTCAGCTGCATCTAGTGCCGAATCTAGGAAATGACGTCTTCTGCAAGATCTGCGTTGTGTTAGTAGGGTGCAGGTTTGAACAAGGTGTTAGCTAACGTTGACGTTGAAAAAGAGGCGTTTTTTGCATCAGCCATTTCCGAAGGCTTTTTGGCGCGAGGTTTCGGGCAACGTATCGATACTGACAGTGCTTAAAGCAATGAACAGGAGTGGGGACAAGCCCCCGCTTGCCCCCCCTCCTCCGCCAAGCTTCCCATATTTAACGGAAGAGCTCGGCCCCTCCTCGGCATGCGAACTGTAGCACTTCAACACTCATTCGAGATGCGCTAGTGTTTAGTTTTTCGACAGTAGGGCCTCGAGTGAGAAAATCATTTTTTAATCGACGTTTTTTTTATTCACGGGTGCGAGCAAAAAGAGAAAACAGCTATTGTCGGGCTGCTGCATGCATTACCTGAATAATCTACACACAACGCGTCACAAACCCCATTCAACTAAGCTTTTTCGTGCCGCATAATGTTTTATGGGGTACCAGAGCATGAAGGTATACCTTCTTTGGATTTTTAGAAGGTTCACTTTATTCTTTTTTTATGTTGGCAGACAGTTTTCATTTGCTTAGTTGTGCATTAGGAGACTGGTATACTACCAATGCCTAAGAGCGTAGGCAAATATCTTTTTCGGAGGGGGGGGGGGGGGAGCTTCTTTGTCAGAAGCCGGGGCCGGGTAGCCACAGGGCAAATATGAAGAAAATAGAAGGTAATACAAACAGAGAAAAAAGACAGAAAAGTAGAAAAAAGAGAGAATGAGATAGAGAAAAATAGAAAAAAAAACGAAGTGAAACGGAGAATGCTGTCCATCTCCGCAATTCCCTCCAACTTGACACCACTTCTACAAAACTGCCTTGATTTACCAACTGTTATAAAAATTCCTGTTTTCCTATAGTGCTTGACTGGATCAGCATGTTAAATAGATCACCTAATTAATTACACTGTATGAACCCAGCTCTTCTCCCACTTCAGTGTTGCGAGACTTTACACCTTCATTACTGCTCATTCAGTGATGTGAGACTTTTAAACCCTAATTACTGACCCTTCAGTGATGCGAGACTTTTGAACCTTTATTACTGCCCATTCAGTGATGCGACACTTTGAAACTTAATTACTGCCCCTTCAGAAAGGTGAGACCTGGAACCTTAATTACTGCCCTTTCAGTGATGTGAGACTTTGAAATTAATTACTGCCTATTCAGTGATGTGGAACTTTAACACTTAGCTGCTGCCCACTCAGTGATGCGAGACTTCAAAACCTAATTACAGCTAATTCGGTCATGCCAGATAATGAACCATAATTACTGCCCTTTAGTGATGCGAGACTTTGAAATAATTACCCATTCAGTGATGCGAGACTTTGAACCTTAATTACTACCCACTCAATGATGCGAGACTTTGAACTTTAAATACTGCCCCTTCAGTGTTGCAGTACTTTCAAACTTAATTACTGCCCACTCAGTGATGCCAGACTTTAAAACCTAATTACAGCTAATCGATTCATGTCAGATATTGAACCTAAATTACTGCCTCTTTAGTGATGCGACACTTTAAAACCTTCATTACTGCCCCTTCAGGGATGCGAGACTTTTGAACATTAATTGCGGCCCCTTCAGTGATGCGAGACATTGAAGCTTAATTACAGTTAATTCGGTCATGCCAGATGTTGAGCCTTAATTACTGCCCCTTTGGTGATGCGACACCTTAGAACCTTAATTGCTGCCCTTCAGTGATGCGAGACTTTGAACTTTAATTACTGCCCACTTAGTGATGCGAGACTTTTGAGCCTTAATTGCGGCCCCTTGAGTGATGCGAGACTTTAAAACTTAATTACAGTTAATTCAGTCATGCCATATATTGAAACTTAATTACTGCCCCTTCAGTTATGCGAGATATTGAACCTTAATTACTACCCACTCAGTGGTGCGAGACTTTAAAACTTAATTACAGATAATTCGGTCATGCCAGATTTTGATACCTGAGTACTGCACCTTCAGTGATGCGAGACTTTTGAACCTTTATTACTGACCTCCAGAATGACAGAAATGTGGACGCTAGCTGCTTATGAAATGTGTGTGTGTGTGTGTGTTCGTGCGTGCGTGCGTGCGCGCGTGCATGAACACACGCACGAACACACACACGCGCGCGCGCGTGTGTGTGTGTGTGTGTGTGTGTTCAATTCAGTGAATTGTCGAGCTATAGTTGGTTTGATATTTTGCATAGAAAAGCGAATGCTCGGAAGGAAAGGAAGACTACTTAGAAGAAAGACGCTCAACCTGCAACTGAGTTGAATTCGGAAAGCGTCTCACCACTAAAACACCAGATCGTCACTCAAAAAAAAAAAACAAGTATTTGGGTAAAAAAAAACCCGTTAAAAATCTATGATAACACGAAGGGGGTATGTTTAATCAGTATGCAGGCTTAACTGCGTTGAGGGAAGTTTATTTCCTTCAAAGTTAGATGCACCGAAGGTGCACTGGTACACGCTTCTGCGGCGATCTTAATTTGTTTCGCTTCTATACGATTTATCTTTCACGCCTGCCCTTTGCCCTACCCATGATGTTGGCCTCCTCGAAAAGTGGAATGCTGCCGCAGGTACTGCAAGACGTGTACTGCGATACTTATAAGTAGCCTTCCTTTACTTGTAATTCTTCGCTCTTCTACGCCAAGTTTTCATTTTGCTTGTTTGTTTGTTTCTTCTGTGATTTGAATTTAACACACGGTGACCGCTTGAGTTGTCTCACGAAATAAGCCTTGGAATCAAGAAGATAAATCTGTGGTGCTCATGAAGTGCTCTTAAGGAAATGTAAAAAGAAACGTGTATGGGACAACGATCGTCCCGTGTGGGCACGAGATCGAGAGCAGCACGCACCCGATCTCTGAGACTTCTAACTTACTTTAACGATACCGTATTGGCCTAACCACTCTTCTTTCGTTGAGCGTCGTAGCGCGTGCACAAAGCACAAGAGAGAAGGAATAGACCCTATACGAGACCTTGTGTATGTCGCATATCCTTTCTTTCCCGGCCTTTGTTAAAACCCTACGGAGCTTCGTAAGAATTTTCAAGACGAAAGCTTTAGACGCCTCATCAAACGCGAAGTTTAACCCTCGACGTCCAGCGGCGTCGGGTACGAGTGATAAAAAACGTGGTCACGAGTTAACACCACTGATCGCCAAAATGGCTGACGTCACCTTGAAGTCCAGGGATGATGAGACCACATCGTATCAGAACTTGGTCAGAGGTGGTCTGATCACGGAGGCAATATAAAGCCAGGTACTTGAGGTGCCTCTAATCTTGGAGGAAACGTAAAACAAAGCTACGTACAAAAACCTTTCTCGGTGAGTGGCGATCGAGACGCCATCAATACACCGGTTGGGAGTCTTGCACGACACAGGTGGATGGACAGTTTATTTGAGCCGGCATACAGATTCCAGGATACTTTAAATAGTCTCATGATAAAACTTAAATCAGAATAAAGCAGTTTATTGATTTTCATTTATCAACAGCATATGACGCTCTTTGGCAGGTAATCATCATGTGTTATCTTTCTCACAAAAGCCTCCGGTCATCCGATCATAGTTGTGGCGTAGGTTGCATATTTTATGGCGAAGCTCGGCTCCCCAGATTTTTTAACGTGCGTGAATGATATTAATTATTTATTTATTTATTTATTTATTTATTTATTTCGTTAGTTAGTTAGTTAGTTAGTTAGTTAGTTAGTTAGTTAGTTAGTTAGTTAGTTAGTTAGTTAGTTAGTTAGTTAGTTAGTTAGTTAGTTAGTTAGTTGGAGTTAGGAGTTGGAAATGAACAGCACCTAGGTCTATTGAAGCTGCGCATGCAAGCTATATTTTTATTGCTCTATTCTTACCAACGCTGCCCTGATTACAAAGTAAAATCTACCTTTTTTTCTTAAGAAAACACAACTAGGGCTTAAAATTCCGCTCGTTTTTGCTGCATACAGTCACTATGACATGCATGCATCCTTCCCGGAACGAAGAACACATAGATGACTGTTTCACAGTATATTCGTACTTCATGTTTCGGTGGAGTCGTGGGATTTACAGGTGATTGAGCTGTTGGTTGATTTCGTTTCTTGGACCTCAACGAGGTAAATGTAAGGGCCGCGGGACGGCTCTTTGCTCTCCTATAGAAAAATACCAAATACTCTAAGTTGTTGATCACACATAAGATGCCAAATGAAGGCTACTCTATCCTAGACTAACATAGTAAACTATGTTAATTTATGACTTTATTATAAAGCGGTCATGGCGGAGTACTCATTATTGGGTATTAAGAGAGTACTGATGCGGAAGTAGCACTGCTTACTACGGGAACGTGCCCCACTCTGTTGGGCATATATGTATGCGAAATGCTGCAATCTCATGAGAAAGACCTCAACCTTCAAAACTTTCTCTGCCATCGATCGCTGATGTCAGGGATCTGAAACACGCTGCCCACGAATCTAATGGAGTATCACGGCATCACGTGGAGTTAAGTTTTGTAACTTCGCCAAACGGTGTACTCGGGTTATTCATGCCCTAATTATTAGAGCTTTATTCGGACAGGCTACAGACATGAGGCATGGTCTGAAGCATTTTTGTGGTGTAATTACTGGTTGCCCCTTTATCGTGTATTATTACCGCTAAACTGCCAGCGTTTCTGTGATGGGTTGTAAGTCAGCCTCGCTCGCTCAAGGGTTCAACAACAAGAAACGTTTGTCCAGTTAGGAGCAGACGAAAACAAATTTTCTTCCGATAACGGAACTGATAAACAGTGTTCTAGAACTGCAGGGATGATGGGCAAGCAAGAGTTACTTCACTACTTTAGTGAATACGTCCGCAGCTACGGTATGTATAGGCGCTCAACCATTGCAATACACGATACTCCTGTAGTGAACAACTGGCACTGCGATAGCAGTCGGCTTCTGCGTCGTAAAAGTAGCTGTAGGCACGGTAGGCGATTACTGAACGAAGGAGTTTCGTGTAAGCCTCCTGGGATAATTGGAATAAAAAGCAACGTAACGCGACAGCTCACATTACCGAAAAATGTTACGAATTGGTTGCGAGTAGGTTACTGAATTACGAGCGAAAAAAAAAATTACGCGGTACCAGTCACGGCCTGAGTTGTAACGGGGTACCTCAAGCAATGTATAAACGGATGCATCCGGATAAGTCGGTGTTCTTTGTAGCGGAATCTCTTAGCGATGCCTCGTTGCGCGGTTACACGTGCTAGGCAATATCATGCCATTTTACGTAATAACTAGTGTGACTACAGATTACGGGATTCATAAACTTTTTCATGTGCAGGCGACGCAGGGAGAACCAAGCGTGGATTCAGTCAGAGGTGAGACGCACATTGTTAACACTGGGTTATTGGGCATTCGTATGTATATGCTCAATATAATGTGTTTCTTGCAATTTTAGTATTTCGTAAAGCCGGCATTCCGTGGCGAGTTGTAATATCATTTATTTATTTATTTATTGTTAATTTATTTATTTGATTCGCTTACTCATTTGTTTTTTTAAGTGAGTGAGTGAGCAAGAATTTACGTGACGTATTGACGGGTTTTAATAAGGAGAGAATAAGCATGGCAGGGCGCATCGAACTGGCCGTGGTAGCTTGGCGCATAAGGCATTGCGCCAATCTTGAGGTTGAGGGTTCAGTTATTGATCGAGGGGAAAGAAAATCTATCCCAGGGAAATGCTGAAAAACAGATAACAGCGTAAGTGGGTGCGGTCGCGCGTCGAAGAACCACAGAGTCAGAATTCATGCGGAGTTGCCACTACATCATGTGTCATAATTAATTGTAGTTTTGACCATCAAAATCACAAAATTATTATTACCTGCAACCACAACGTGCTAGCAAATTAGTTACAGTGAGAACGTCAAGTGGCCAACGAGTGAGCGTGCAGACTGTTCATTGCGCAGAGAGTGTTTTGTATATTTAAGCATTTTGCAGCTTCTTATTTGTATACCTAAATAAGCAGCCAAACCCACATAGTTTTCCTACAGATCCCAATGAGTGCTTACTGCGCACTCTAATCAAATGTTATCGCATTGGGGCGGCCAATCCCGCCTTATCAGCCGTACGCGCGCAACCACTCCTCCCCGCCTTCTTTCTTTCGCAGGACACCGGAGATGTGGTCAGAATGCAGACACCAAGGTGGTCGACGGCAGTACGTTGTCCACCAACAAGTACCCGTGGGTGGTTCGTTGAACAATTTCTATTACATTCAATCGTCATAGCATAAACATTCTGCCACAGAGATAGGATGAAGCTAGAATTTTCATCCAGTATTGTTTCTATAGAAACAATTATGAATGCAAAATAACGTGAATAATGGTCAGCTTGTTGCTTCGATTTATATGTGTATCGAATCAACAAACCGCTTGTGATTTGAACAAATTTTATTGCACTTACATTGTCATGGCGACACTTTCAGCGCACTAAGAAGGTCGTGGACAAAGAAAGTGCAGAAAGGATGATTCGTTTTCCTGGAAGCACAGTTCGGCAAACTTACTTATGAGATGGCTCAATTCGGCTCACTCAGACTAAGATGTAGCTGTAAGTCTGAGTCCGAGCCGGTCCAAGTGAGCAATATTTTGGTGATTCTGAGTCCGAGTGAGAGTCTCAAGGTCCAAATATATTTCATGAGTGAGTTTGAGTGAACTACACAATTCTTGCCCACCTAAGCTCAGGAGTAACCACACTGTCCTGTCTTCATTCACTCTCTTCTTCTCTCTGTCCGGCAATTTTGTAATGTATTGATCCAAACAAACATATTCTTTCATTCATTCAAGCTTTGTCGTGTCTCACTGTCGGGCGTTTTCGCATGATTCTCGGGTCAGTTACATTTATTATCCTGGCATGGAGTTTTGTACAAGGGAAGAAATTGTTAGTAAGATGTTAAGCAATATTTAGCGCAAAATAACACTACATGTGCCCTAACTTTTAACAAAATTATTTATTTCAACAACGGAAGCGCTAATAGAAAGTGGTGATGCTCGCGCGCTACAGCGAGATGTCGGGCGCAGAGAAGTATACCTTTTTTTGTTATTTCGCTTCTCCAAGAAATTGTTGATCTGAATTCTTAGCTAAGAAGCTGACGTCGAAGCGTGTGGACCGTGGTCAAAGTGCCGATTTTCTTTTTTTTTAAATATTACCTGTCGAACGAAGTTTATTTACACGGAAAAGACTGAATTTAACGAACAATGCGAAGAAAATGGGGCAGCAATATGCCCTGCGATAGGACGTCGTCATAGCAGCATAGGTGAACCTCAGAAAAAGATATAGTGAACCATCATAGGGACCATAAATATTCGTTATATTCAATATTTTCTGTAGCAGCTGAAACAAAGATAGGCTGCAAACAATCAGCTACATTACTCGAGAAAAAAAGTGTACTACAACAAAGCATTGTTTTAGGTATCAAACAGACTATATTCGAGGTAATTCGTTCCTGTATTGTGCCGTTTGAAACTTTGGTTCATACAGTGTCACGACAAGTGAAATACGCTTTATCTCATTTTATTATACGTCAAGTCTTTAGCCTTGCATCAACAAAAAATATATATTCATCATAGCCAACACCGCGGCATGGTGTCTCGAAAGGCCGGTTTCTACGCACATGTTACTGCGCTGAAAACAATTGGTAAGAAACAACGGCAGAGTAAGAAGCAATATGATGGCGCACAGTCGTTCGGAAGTGCTTCCATTGCCCACTTCTCACCCTCCGTCAAATTTTCGCGTTAGATTTCCACGCACTATCTCGACGGCTCTGGCGTTGTCAGTTTTGTTAAAAACGGAATAACTGTCCCTCCATTGAAGCGTCCCCAACCAAATGCACTTTTTTCGCTATAACCAATATGTTGAAATATCTGGGTTTGTTATAGCATGGCTCAGCAGTTACTTCAACTGAGTCTCACTTTAACGACCCACACCCTCAAGACGATTGCTCGGGAGGCTACTAACAAAAGACGCCCGCCTATGTACAGTTCTGAACGGTGGAAGGCACTAATATTGCGATCGAGGGGGACGTTAAGGCTAGTTATAGACAGCTTCTTTTTTTATTGAGGACAGTGCCTCTTAGGATACTCGAACGCAGAAATTTGTATGCCTGTCTGTCACACGATTCAACCACCTGGCGAAAGTTTAAGCACATACTGAACGGCCAGCCATCTTAAACTAGTGGCTGCGTTCATACTTGTGAACCTTGTCGATCGAAAAGCTAATGTTACGTATGTGTCAGGAGCAACATCGATACGTAAGTGAAAATGCGGCGTTATTAAGCACAAAAAAGCTCTCTTCTGACTATATGGTGCTGCCACCTGGCAGTGGTCCTGGGTTCTGTGCAAGCTCGTGTTTCCCGAGGATACTGCCAGATGGCGCCCATATCTAAAGCAGTGGCATATCTCTTGTGGATGAGACCAGGACTTGTGTTGTATGGCCTGCAAAACACTATAATCTTTTGGCGACGTTTGCAGTGAAGCACGTATAGATACGCAGCCAACGTGCTTTTTGGTCGGCAATAGATATTAACTGCACATTTGTTTGTGCTCAGCGATTAAATCATAGCATTTTCATACTAAGTTGAAAAAAAATGCACTGTGCAATTTTGCATGGAGCGGATAATATATATGGAATTGTAAGAAGCTCTATCCTAACAATTTCACTCTACTTACAGTTCAATCTGCCTTGCTTCGTAATATATTGAAGGGCACTGACGTGGCCTCGGGCAGTCGTCGTAATAGATGGATTCAGATTCGATTCAGTTCACTCATATAGCATTACTTCATAATGGCGTCAGGATGCGAGTTGGTTGGTTCTATCCATCGGTAAAACAGCACAAAAGGAAACATGCAAATGTAGACACGGGATAGTGCTGACGCCTAGTTGCCTTGGTTCATTATGATTATGTGTTTGAGAAGGGAGTATGTAGAGATGCAGGATATTTTAGATGCTTTCCATGAATATAACTGACAAAGGGTATACCTATCTCCGCAACTAACTTTTATATATCTAAACAAGCCTTGTTATTTGACGCGTGCTTCATTGGCGTGTCGATCATCCCCCCCCCTTTTTTTTCGTAACCCTTTTCAATGTAGGCTGGTGCGTTTTCACAGTAAAGCGAACAAGATGGCAGTCAGCACTGGTCGTGTATTTACTTCTCCGTGTTTTCACATATGGGCACATTATTTTATATCACGATGATGAAGCATGAGGTTTCTTTTTAAAAAAAAAACCTTCAATTTTCTGCGTATACCTCGGAGTTTGAAATAAGCGCGGCTTTTGCATTCAACTCGTTTGTCCTAGATTCATGGTACTAACCCTTCTGTAGCCAACTCAACGAGATCATTACTGCTACTTCTTTCTTTTTTAATCTTATCTAATCGCTTGCGATCGTGTCACTGTTCAGGTGCGCATCTCCACCTACTACACGCCCATTGATGGGTTCGACCAGAATGGCACCGACTCCTGCTCCATCCTCAAGACTGAAATGGTGAGTCCATTCATCGACTGTGTTCCCGTAGTGTCCACGAGGTCGCCTCAGCAAGGATGAACTGCCGCGACTTTTGCAGCTTTTAGCGTTCACTTATTTCGGAGGGAAGCGGCATCATTCTGTTTGGATGAGAGGGCAGTGGTGCTGGTGCCTTCGATAGTAAACGCAAAACATGCGCAAAGAGCACCGCACAGTTGCACCGTTATTAGTATCTCTTGGTGGCAAAAGAAATGAGGGTCTCTACTGTTTCCTTGAGATGCACTTCCGGTCAAGCACTTCCTCCCAGTTGTCCGCATATTCGGAAAGTGTGCTTCAAAAAAGCTTCTCCGAAATCATTGCTCTTTGCTCAAGTTAAGAGTTATATTGGATACACATGATTTAGCAGCATATGTGTATATTTAAGAAAAGTGCCGACCAACTGATAACGTAATCAATCTGATTTAATTGTATGACTTCGCTCAATGAAGTGTTCTCGTTCTGAGCTGCTGAAATTTTTGCGGCCCCTGGCGGAGGGGATCTTTGCCACGATTTTCTTTCTACGCGGCCTCAGGGACTCGCTTCGACAGTGCCATGAAGCACGATTAAAATGAATAGACCAAGCCACACGAACGTTGAGATTCGAATGCTGCCATCAGGCACTTATGTAATGGGTTAGGGGCCCTTCCTAATATTCTTCCTTTTCTTTTAAATGCGCAGCATTTCTTGGCTAACTTAGGCGACTTTGAGAGTATCTATCTAAATATATATCCGCTTACGTTTGGGTGCTCGCGTGGTCACCCCTCAACTTGGCATGAACCGAAATTAGCGTGGGAGAGTAAGATGGTTTGACGAATATGACGCACTGGTCAATACATGAATAATGTCCCAATCCAGTCGCGTGCGTCGTCAAACACTTCCCGCCAGACAATGGCACATACCCATAGGCAGGTATGTCATTCACTGGCATACGGGAAGGTGCCATAGGTGAATGACACTTGGTGTCTAACCGAGGAATGACGAGAACACACATGGGCAATTTTAACGCATGAACGTGAAGCAATACCCGTCATCAGTAGCCTGGATCCAACGAAGGCGTAGAAAAATGTCAGCGTTAAGAAAAACCTGACATAGGCAGCGTTGACCCCCTGACGAATGTAGATAATAAATTTCGGGGTCCCAGCAGGACTCGAACCCAAACATTCTGCATGTCAGTCAAGCATTTTACCACAGAGATATGCCAAATCTCGGAACTACTTTTCAAATAGACGCCAGTCTTTCTGAAACGTCAATTGTGGGTACAGTTCTGCCTACCCAATTTTATAAACATTACTTATGTACTCCTTTCATACAGTCATCACGTCGGGTTCAAGTCAATTGTGGTTATTTGCCAAGCGCTGGAGTTTATTTATGTAGCAGTATCCAGGGCCAGCATCTTCGCGAGCACCAGCGCTTTATATCAGCTTCTGGTTTTGCTAATACGCATCTTCGAGAACATCATTGCGCAAGTGTAAACAACTCGTTATTTAAAAATCTGCAACTCTTCAACATATATCTATGCGTGCAACATTTGTACATATATTTAGCGTCATTTCATGACGTATCGCTCAATCAAAAATTTCAACATGGTCACTTTCCCTCCACATGCTTCGCATAACGTTGATTCCAAGGTACGTTGTGACTGCCGAATTTTTTTCTAACGACTACATTGATGGCGTACGTGTTAGATAATCACATAGTTTCATACAATAATAGCTAGACAGAAATCTCTTGCTGCGACAATGCACCCCATGAGAATTGTGGGAAGTACAGGCTTCGAATTGGATTGCGTTAGCTAGTGAATTGTCAACGGATCTTGAGTTTCAGTTTTGTTTTTCGCGCACCGTGGGCAACAGGGTGCAGTGCAAGGCACTGAATCAGTGCCTTTGTTGTTCAGGTAGGCTGAAAATTACTAGGGCTCCCTATTTGTTGCGACGTTGGAGCTTTGCAGGTTGTATTTGATAGTTTAAGTGAAATTTCCTCCACTCACCGCTGCGCGTAGATGTAGCATCCCATGCCAGGGCCGGATAATGCATCGAGTTCATGTTTTTTCATAATCGCTTCTTCCCGAAACTCGCTTAAATCGCCTGACCCACCGCGGTGGTCTAGTTGCTAAGGTACTCGGCTGCTGACCCGCAGGTCGCGGGATCGAGTCCCGGCTGCGGCAGCTACATTTCCGATGGAGGCGGAGATGCCGTAGGCCCGTGCGCTCATATTTGGGTGCACGTTAAAGAACCCCACGTGGTCGAAATTTCCGGAGCCCTCCACTACGGCGTCTCTCATAATCAAATGGTGGTTTTGGGACGTTAAACAACACATATAATCAAATAAAGTCAGATCTCGGTCGCGCTGCGTAGTCAAAGTGGGAGCGCCCCCATAGCGCTCCGAGCTAGAGCATGGTGCTCTGAAATAACCAGCCAAATGCAGTCAGAGTGCTAGATATTAACCTGTCGAACGTGAAATATGTCGTCAGTGTGCACTGGGGCACTCTGAGACAATTAGTCGAAGATTTCACAAGGGTGTAGGCCTCTATGTCAATGATTATCTGTTTTTGTTGTTATTAAAGGGCCTCTTAACCACTCCGAGTTCAAAGAGAAGGGGCTGGTTTCTTGGGGGAGGTAGTGATTAGGTGGAAAAAGGGAAAAAAAAGACGCTTATTTCTTCAGCCCTTAAGGAAGCACAGCGCAGCGTCTTGCAGAGGAATGGGTGAAGAGAAATAAAGAGTAGGAAAGCACAAGGTAAAGATAGAAGCAGTCAGCAGTTCGCAGGTCGCAACACATTCGAGCCTTCACCAACCCTTCCGTAAGCAGTCTCATCCTCGCCACGACACCACAATTATTCCTTCACTTATTCCTTCAAAGCCACTCGCCTATCGGATATCGCACTTTCCGGCTACACGCTGTCCCCCCCCCCCTCCCTTCTCGTGCACTTGAAAGCGCACAAAATGAAGAGGAACCAGTTGATCGCGAATGATTGTCATGCGATAAAGAACAGAGAAGGCATGCGACTGCGCGGTAAATTGGGGTAAGATACAACACAATGGGCGACCGGTGTCTCTTGTATGCGTGCCAATCAAGAGTTTATGTCCACGCGGCGTCATGTTTACGAACTGCTGGCATCACAAGTTTCGCCTAAACGGTGGTAAATGCCAGGAGAGGATACCGCCCTCGTTTTTTGTTTTTTTTTTTTTTTACTGTAAGAGGTTGTTCAAAACCACTTACGGCCCAGTGCCTCAAATTTGGGACATAGCGAAGAACTTCGAGCAAGCAAGTCACGAAGTGCATGCCACCTTTCAATCCGGCGGTCGAGCTCTCACGGGGATCGTAGCTTTCAGCGCCAAAAATCGAGATCCGCCTCGTCTAAGGTTTTTAATGCTAGAACCAATTGTTTTCTAGCTGATGGTGAAGAGTGGGAAGTGCATGCAACAGCTCTCACTTCTTTGTTCTTTCGCACCTGGACGACGTAAGAGCTATGTTTAATAATTTTGTTTATTTGGTGTGTACGCACCCAAGAAATGGCACAAGACGTGCTACGTATTTTTGAAGTACTTTTTTTCGTTTCAAGGTCCTCGCTTTTGTGGAATATAAATAATTGATAATGTACAAAAAATGTGCATGAATATTGCGTTTTCGATCGTTTAAAAGTGGTAAAAGAAAACTGTTTTGATTTGTTTCGGCATTTACGTAATTCAGGCTATAAGGAGTTATTCATCTTATAGGCTGACTTGGGGGACACTCGATGCATCGTTTTCTAATTTCTTTCAGAGCAAGATGAGCACCGCCCGGACGGTGGGCAAGAACACGCAGACCATCGTGTCTCTCTGCGGAGGAACGATGATCACCCGAAGACACGTGCTCACAGCAGGACACTGCCTGCTGCCCGAGTGAGAGTTCACTCTTTCTTCTGAATAGATACCTTACAGAAGGCAACAGGGGGGGGGGGGGGAGAGAATGGTGCGAATATCATACGAAAATTTACACACTTATGCAATATGAACGCGCAGCGATGGGGTAGCGGTTAGAGTGCTAGTGTCGCTTGCATACGCCTCCAACGGCTGTGAAGCAACAGACCACGGTGGCGGCCAGGTCTGCGACGCAGAAGAGAGTGCTAGAATTTTTGGGTCAGGAAAGGCCGCGATTGGAACTTTAATTTGACAACGCTTGCTGCTACAACCTTATCTATTGAGGGAAGTCTATAGTTGTGCTATTTTAGGAGCTAGAGTATGGTAAGTGGGATAAAATAGGGCACGGTGAAGTTAGGAGGACATTCAAGGCCTATGCGGTGCCACAGCATGGTTGTGTCCTCTGCTATCGTGGCTTGGCTGAAAAAAATAGAACGGGGGGTGGGGTTCCTTATCCACACTAATATAGGTGGTAACATAGAGGAATACTATAACATTAGTGAAAGAGGGGTACGTGTCATAATTAAACTGCATAAGAGATACATGATGGAGGTGGTGCAGGTCCATGCGCCTGCATCAAGCCATGATGCCGTATTAGTTGAGAGCTTCTATGAAGACGGGGACGGCAATGAGCAAAGTAAAAACACAGCATACTATACCAACGGGTGCCTTCAATGCCAACGTAGGGAAAAAGCAGGCTGGAGATCAGGCAGTAGGGGTTTCTGACATGGTACTAGGAATCACGAAGGGAAGTTATTAGTAGAATTTACAGGACGCAATTATTTACGTATCTTGAAAATTTCACAAAAAACGAGTGAACCGTAAGTGAACATGGAGGAAGCCTAATGACGAAAGTATGAAATAGAATGTATACTGAGTGCACATCCAGATATCGTGCAGGATATGGAAGTGCTTGGCAAGGTACGATGCGGGGATCATAGAATGGTAATGTCTCGAATTCGCCTAGACTTGAAGATGGAAAGGCAGAAATTGATATGCAAAAGCTCAATCAGTGACATAGCATTGAAAGGGAAAGTACCGGAATTCGGAGTATCACTTCAGAACAGAAACCAACCTATAGCTTTGACGCAATGAATGATAATCTGACGAGTATCATGTCGGAGTGGGCAGTGGAAGTGGGAGGTATGGTAGGTAAGCACTGCACTAGCAAACTGTCCCAGGAAACGAAGAACCTCATTAAGACACGTCAAACAATGAAAGCCTCAGACACAGCAGACAAAATAGAACTGGAAGAGCTTTCAATGTTGATTATTGAGCGTAAGGTGTGCGATGGGACAATGTATAACATGTAGAAAATTGAACATGCTCTGAAGAACGGAGGAAGTGTCAAAGCGGCGAAGAGCATACTTGGGATAGACAAAAACAGGATCTATGCACTACAGAAGCGTATTCCTATCGAAGGGATTTTTCAACTTCATTACAAAAACGTGTTTTCGTAGCAACAGGCACTTTACGGGAAATCTGAGTTTCCTAGTCAGGGAACACGACTATAAAAGGCTGGCAGATGAAGTTGTGGACATACACTTCGCTTATCCCGAGCGAAAAGCGAGACATGCGGCAAACATTGGCGTTGCTGCCTTCTATGTCTGTCGCTATAGAGCAGCGGGGCAGAAAGCATTCACTCATACAATGCTGCCACTGAAATCAAATGGCTTCTCCTACATTTATCTTCTTCAGAGAGTTCAAACCTCGCTACGTGGTCCGCTACGGCTCGACGCGCACCTCCCGCCAAGCAACTGCCTTCGTGAGCAAGGTGTTCAAGCACCCTAACTGCCACCTCGTGAACCAGGACCGAGCCGTCGATGACGTCGCCATACTCGTACTGCGGACCGCGCTGCCTCTGTCACCGGTGTGCCTGCCCCGAGCAGGTGCACCGCTTCCTTCACATGTCACCGTCGCCGGCTGGGGCAACACCATACCGAGTGAGTGTGCAATCGGCACTCATAGTGTCTGTTAAAAAAGAGGTTACAGAGACAACCAGAGGACGAATAGCAGACAACACTCGACAGAAGTCGGTAGTAGATCTGTGAACCTGTTTCATCCCGATGTCGCCAGTTGTGCGTCGAGCAACCATATACGCCTCTGAATGTCATGTTATTTACGTTTTCTCGGCTCCGATATGGGAATCTCCGATTGCGATTCGACCCCGGTCGGAACCGACTTGGTGGGACACGTATGACTCCATTCCGCTTGTTATGCGGAGAAGCCAATCACGATGAAAAAAATTTGATCTCCATCGGGCTCGTAAACGATCCAAATGACGCCGTGAACCTCCTCTACTTTCGTATCGATGTCTTACAAACTTCTCAATGCGAGCGATAACGCTTGAGGTCCAAGCGTGTATAGCCTAGCTATTATAATGGGTTAACTATAGCATGACAGAAGCACACGCCAGCGGGGCGCCAGATTTGCACCACAACTGCATTTTTCACGAGGAGAATCGAAGGAAACCTGAGGATTATTATTTAATGACAGGTCATTTAATCACACAACAGAATTTGAAGCTGAGGAAACATGTACGAGATTTCAATCTTCTTGCATTCCGTTTGGAATAAGCGTTGAATGAAAACCAATAATAACAGAGTGCTTAACAATTAGAGTCGTGTATGGGGTGCCTTCACTTATTTATTGCTTCCGTGTTCGAGCGCTATGTCTTTTAAATGAAAGAAAAATTGCGATAAACTTCATACTCTTAAGGGTTGTATATAATGTCCATGGCACATACATATTGTCGTAGCCTCGTTTGGTTGCTGACGTTTGTTTGTATGTTTCTTTGTGTGTGCCTGCGTTTCTAGGCATCGACTCGCTGCAGCTGCCGGAGCTCCTCAAGGAGGCTCAGATGGAGGTGATCGACAAGGCAAAGTGTCAGGAGGAGCACTCGTACGCGAAACCTGACGCACCAGATCTGCGCCCAGGCGTCTTCTGGCTTTCCGGGTGTGGTAAGCGCTTTCACAGGCCACTGACCGGAACACGCTTGAACATTTACCTATACGTCAAAGAAAAACGTACAGGCCAGTTCGTAGAAACAATCTGCATCAGCCACGTTGAGGACGAGTTCTACCCCTTTCTTTTTTTTACGTTAATCGGTGATGGCGTATACACCTCCCCTGTGGTGAAACGGAATGACCAATCCTAGAGAAAGTAAAGTCCATCAAAGTGTATGGGTGGTCATCTGATTTGAAATGCCGTATCTACTTGCAGTCTTGTAAGGGAGACGAGAGAGAGAGAAAGCTTTATTAAACAGTCAGTCAATTGTTCAGGCATGGCCCGTCGCCCCTAGCTGTCGACCGGAATTCCCTTGGGACGCGGCAGCAGCAATGGCTTGACTGATGATGTCGCGCTGGACGTTGGGATCTGGGCTGCAGAGCAGGGCCTCCCAGGATTCTACAGTGTGAGAACCATCGTTTTGACTTGGACATGTCCGACACCATGTGGACCAAATTTGCTACCTCGTCACAAAATTTACACTGGGACTGAAAAACTGCGGGGTGCCACTTGCTGTAAAGTGTGGAGTTTCGAAAAACCCCGGTCTGTAACTTTCGCCACAAAACCTCATTTTTCTTACTTAGTGAGTTGTCCGCTCTCGGGTATACTTGCTGATTCAGCCTGTAGTGTGCGACGATTTCATGGTATGTGCGCATATACTCGCTTCTTTGTTCGGTAACTTGGGAGGTTCCAGGGGTTGACCGGTAGGTGAGACCTCGGGCGACAGAATGAGCCTCCTCGTTCCCTCTAAGTCCTTGGTGAGCTGGAGCCCAGACAAGCAGAACCTGCTCTTTGGGTACTCCTACCATGTTTAATATACGGACGGCAGTCTCCGTCACCCTTCCCGATTCATAATTTCTCACAGCGTTTTTGGAGTCGCTGATGACCTCCCCTTTTGGTTGATGGCCAAAGCTATGGCCACTTCCTCGGCCTCTACAGTCTCGACACCAAGGACTGTGCAGCATGCAATACGGCCACCATCTTCCCTGACCACCGTCTGTAAGGGATATCGCGATCTTGGTGAGCTACAACACGGAAGTGCATGGCCGGGTGCACTGTGTGGGTGTAGAGCGGCACCAATCATGACATGTTTTCGAGTTGTGAAGGGAGGATTTAGTTCTTTCCAGTATTGGAGGAAAGAATATATGTTGCCTGTGCTCATCGACTCCATTTGCTTTCATGGTGGCCCTCGCTTTATGCAATGGTGATATATCAGCCTAGAAAATAACTTCGCAGGCTAAAGCAAGCAAGGGGGCATGATACGCGCTTGCAGGGAACGTGAAGATCGCTCTCTAAAACGCGAAAATATGGCACCATCACCGCCACCGTACAACCTAGCTGTGCGATCAGCCACTGCGCTCACGTTGTGTGGCTCATACTGAGCGCGATAGAACGTATTACTCACGGATCTTTTTGTGGCGAAGCACCTTCGGGGTGGTGGGGCTTGTCCAGTGTCTGTATGTCACGGGGTAACGTACGGTAATTTGAGACACAAAAGAAGTTTAACGATAGACTAATATTTATCGTAATTGTGGCAAAACAGCATGAAACTCCCACAAGCACAAGCCTCTTGTACTAGTCGGGGACTTTAACATCGTCATTATGAACATTAGGACCTAACTTTGTCGTCGATTCTTCATGTCACCTTGTGACACATTATATGGGGCGACGATCAAGTGACATACGTGAGAAACAAAAATGGTTTAATAATAGACTAATATCAATCATAAGTGTGACACATCCATATAAAACACCTACAGGTACAGGCCCGTTACACTATTCGGCGGCTTGAACGTCGACATTATGGACCTTAGATAGCTTCACGCACCTGTTACAATTCGCTTCGTGAATATGCATGAATATTTTTCTAAAATAAAATGAACGAATGAATGAATGAGCCGTGCTTGCTACGGTGAGTCATTTGCGGAAAGTCAGTACCTACATGGCCAAAGATCTGACACAAGACCCTTGATAAGCGTACTTTATGCCAAAAGACAAAAGCCGTTGACGAACGTCTATGCAGGGCACTTAGTGCGCCCATTTTCGCCAGAGAGTTTAAGCTTACTCAGAGCACAGATTTATTGCTAGTAACCAGAGGACTTTCTCTGGGCGTGTACAATAGCCTTTAAGCAACAAGACAGCTCTAATTGGCTTCAACAGATGCCATATGACGAGCGAATTCCGAGTGTGGTTCCGATAGTCGAGGTCCAAGTACTCGAAATTGTGAAACGCTTTTGCTGAACACACAAATATTACTCGTGGTGTGAAATTACCTCGATGAGCAGCTGGAAAGACACGGTGAAGAGACTTTCCTCCGATGATGGCACACGCGTTTCTTCAGAGTAAGGAAGGGACAGCTGGAGTTTACAGTTCCGAACTAACCATGCGCCCACTCTAGTACGCATGCATATGTGTAATTACCTGAAATGTCAATAGCTCGATCGATTTCTGGTTTTCTTGTAACATTCAGATACACATGAATCAATTGAATTGGAGTTCTCCTTTGTAAGATGTATACGCTGCTTTCACTTGTTTTCGGTGTTTCGTTTGTTTATGTACAAGTTACGTGTGCAATAAAAAATCCATTTCACTAATTAACACGATCGTCACGCTCTGCTCAGTCGATGTAATCATGCTCACGCCCGTCCCTAGCTTCCGATAGCTTCCTTAATGGAACGTTTGTTTGTATGGGAAAGTTCGGAAGCGCTTTAGGGCCGGAGCACCCTATGGGCCAAGGCTGGCCCACCCACGACTAGTGTGTCCGTTGTCACGGGGAGATGCGTGAATGTGAACAGTGTTGCTGAGTCGCCACTTCAGTATGAGCATCACTCTAGAATCACTCCACATTTTCGCTACCCCGAAATGAAAAGGAAATCGAATGGGGACAATGCTTGGAAGAACGGAATGGGAATGTAGTAAGTGCCTTTTGCTCGTAGTGCAATTGGAATGTAATTGCATCTTTTTTTCCGAAAATGAAGCACGTGTGCATCTACGGATTGTTTTTTTTTTTCGAGCTTCAAAGGTTAGTAGGTTAGAGCATCAAATTTAACAATAAAGCTGTATTATAAAATGACTTCGCTTATTATGAGCATGGTACGTTTCTATGCAACAGGCCTACTACAATTCTGTACTTCTGTAGATTGTGTTGCTCCGAAGTTCGCCCCCCCCCTCCCCCCAAACGCTTTCTATTTTCTTACGCGACAGCGTTAAAAAGCTCGTTTCGCAGGAATTGTGGCCTCGGCGTCGTTGATTCTGAGTGAAAAATCACGTTGTTAATGACGTAAAATTAAGAAATATGGAAACAAAATACATAATAAAATACCCTGGCTTTGGTAGAGGATGGAAACCAGACCATTTTCTGTGGCAAGCAGCTGCTCTACCACACAACCATGCGTATACTTCGGAACACAGAGAAAATAAATTCCTCTGCACGTAAATTCAGTGAAAATATCTTTCATGCTTTACAAACACGTGCATACTGTATACGGGCTCCATAGTACTACATGTAATAGAGCAGTATTATTGCGTGGTACAAGCATTTGGACGTCAGCAAATAGGTGATTGAAAACGTAGTTGAGACAGAAATGAAGTATAACTGCAGACTAGTAATTATCATAATTGTGACGGAAAAATGTAAGACACGTACCAGCGCAAATCTTTTATATATAGTGGGTGACTTCAACTTGAACATTATGGTTAGTAAAACCTAGCCTCGTCCACTCGTCATCAAATTCATTTCGTGGAAACGCGTGGATTTTTTTTTATGTCCTGCCAATATGCGCAAGTTTCCACACTAAGCACTTTATAACCCTCACCCTACCACCATGATCCAGGCACACACTTTGGGCGTGTTCTTCAACGAGTATGATGCGCGCAATTTTCCCTCGCCACTTTTTTCACATGCATTGTTAAGAACGTGATCGAAAGGCGTGTTTTATTGGGAGCACGGGCGAGTGCCGGATAACGCAAGTGTTAATGAAGGCAGGTGATGGTGATCGCGAGTGTCCTCGCCTAATCCAATTCGCGAATGTCAGTAGAATTATGTGCGTGAGTAGGACAAGTTAGGTTCTACTAGCCTATGGGAGCATGAGTGGGGCTGGTTGGGGTGAATGGTGGTGGATACGATGCAGATAGACAGGTTAGTCAAAATATACTCAGCATAGCAGAGTGTCACCCGGTCTCTTATGCGTGAGTCTAAACTGCCTCGATCACAGAAACCATGGCCTTCCTCGTTTTTTTTTATCTCGGTCAATTGTACCATCCCCATCCCCTTCTTCTCCACAAAAACTTTCTCGCCTAACCCTGTTGAGCACTTCCTCCGAAATAGAAGTTTTTGCAATCTTTCTGCCCCTCAAGTGGACTTGCAGTGCGTTCAGCATCGGCGCTGTCTTGACGTCACGACCACTTCCTGCGAAGATGTCACCATGTGACGTCTCGATGGCACACTATGGATGGACAACCGCTAGCCTGCTTCTTTGAAGCGAAGTCATGTTTTATTGCTTTTGACAGTAACAAACGAGGACGAAGGAAAATTGACATATGGACACGCGGAATCTAGTAAGTGCGATCCACGTTTGTTACGCTCCAGGGTGACAAAAGTGATAAGGATGTCGCAAAATTTGGCAATCTGTAGCGCCTAGATACATGATGACGTCGTTGCATGATTGTATTTCGCATCACTCCATGCTGACGACGATGGTCTATCTCCGCGTTAGGGGAGGCGTCTGACGCTTTCGCCTTGATATTCGCCGATCTCGTTCGTAGAGCTGTAAGCATCGTTAATCGTGTCACCTAAGCTCTCCCCCCCCCCCCACCTTCCCTCCCCTAATCCAACCCAAGAGGAGTGGGAGGCGGCCATGCTTGGTTGCTCTGTCTTTCAGGCCCAGAGGGTCCTTCCTGGTCCGGAGGACTAAGCTTGCGGATGTTACCAATGTGGTCCCGGAATAGGGGCTACAACCACTGCGGAGTCTCTAAAAGGGCTACATCTCTTTTGTTTCTCTCTCTCTCTCTCCTTCTCCTCACTCCTCACAGGGTGACTCCGGTGGCCCCCTGATGAGCAAGGGTTCGTCGGGAGAGTGGACCCTGGTGGGCGTCGTCTCGTGGGGCAACGAGACCCGCTTCAGGTCATCTCCGTTCGTCTTCTCGGACGTCTCGGCCCTGCTTACGTGGATACAGGACATCGTCGCGATGCCCGTCTGGTAGCCAGCAGAGTAAATTGTCGACAAGCAGCTTGGGGATATGGGCTAATAAAGCTAGTGACCGGTGTTGTTTCAGTTCATTATTGTTATTTGATTGTTCTCCTGTGTGCGAGTTCTATTTATAGGTCCAGTTTGACTGCTTGACTACCTGGTAAGAGCGCATTCCCTTCCTATCTGCATGCTTACCAGATCACACATTGTATCGCTATATGTGGTCGGAATAATTCTGTCATGTTCATTCAGCATAGAGAGCCACAACTTGTGTGTGTTTGGGCTCAAGTGCGTAGGCGTCCTTAAGAAGTTATTTAAATGAGATTCACCCGTCGTGTGAAAAATGCTTACTTTTGCGTAATTCGAAAGGCGCATTACTCCAAAATTATAGCTGCTTTCCTACACATGACTTTATGTCTGGGGTTACGCTATGTTTCAAATGCGAAGCTGCTTTTTTTTGCGTACTGCAAGCACTTTTGGCTTATCTATCTATCTATCTGTCTATCTATCTATCTATCTATCTATCTATCTATCTATCTATCTATCTATCTATCTATCGAATCGTCTACATCTGGGTGCCCTCATGATCACCCCCTTAACTTAGGGTCTTCGAAATACTTTGCAAGAAGAGCCAAATGTTCGTGAAACGCCAATGCTGGTTCCAGTGTTGACTATTCAATTTCTTGCATACATTTAGCGCCACTTCATAATGTTTCACTTAATAAAAAATTACAACAGGGTCACCTTGCATACCATTGATTCCCAAGTTATGTGGGATCTGCGTCTTTTTTTTTTTTTTTGCTGGCAGTAGCGGATGGCGACATTTATGCCACGAAATGATATTCATTGGGTTTTGCAAAGCGCCAGTACTGTGAAAGCAATCAAGTAGTTCTTATACAATAAACCATTGTGTAAAAAAAAAAACTCTGAAAATGCAGGAAAATAATAGTTGACCTCGCGTGGCTCGGCCTCCTGCAGGCTTCGCAGCGCTTGCGAAGCGCAAGGATTGAACGTAAATGCACCTTCTCGCACAGCAGCGCACCATGCGGGCGCTGCTGGCAGTCATCAGCTGCGGGACCATCTCCTAGCCCGCGCTCAGCTCACTAGGCAGTATATTTCTAGGCACTGTAGTCAAACACTCACGGGGAACACAGGTTTCAGTGTGAAAAATATAGCGCCATCTCGTCTAAGGTATTTTATGCTAGAACCGATTGTTTTGTAGCTGATAGCGAAGAGCGCGAAGCGCGTGCAGCATCTCTTTACTTTATTGTTCTGTCTCGTCTGGGTCACGCAAGTTCTATCTTCAATAATTTTGTTTATTTGGTGTGCGCAACCAAGAGGCTGCGCCCGACGTGTTACGTAAATCTGAAGTACGTTTTTTCGTTCCATGGTCCTCGCTTCTGGGGCGTATGGAGAATTCGGGACATACTTGAAAGAATGCAATTAGGTTGCACCTTAGATAATATAACTGCGCATTCACTTAAAGGCTACTTAAAGGCTACTATTTAAAGGTGGAGAATGAAAACAGTTTCTATTTTGCTTGGCATTAATGGGTTAAGGGTGTGATCACGACAGCACCCAGACATAAGTCGCTACACTGATAGATAGATAGATAGATAGATAGATAGATAGATAGATAGATAGATAGATAGATAGATAGATAGATAGATAGATAGATAGATAGATAGATAGATAGATAGATAGATAGATAGATAGATAGATAGATAGATAGATAGATAGATAGATAGATAGATAGATAGATAGATAGATAGATAGATAGATAGATAGATAGATAGATGCTCAAAGTGGTTGCAGTACGCAAAGAAATTAATTTAAAAAACCATTGACAGTTTAACCACCTGAGTTATTTTTTTAAAATGTGCTTTGTTCTTGAGAGCAAGAATTATCACAGAAGACCATAAAACCTCTACCTCCTAGCCTGCATTCCATTAGGATACGAGTGAAAACAAATAATGATAACATGCCCATTAATAATCTGACACTCGCCGCATATGATACTCAAAACGCTGCTGGAAAGGGAGTCTGACGTTGACATGGGAGAAAAACTGTGTGAATGAAAGGGTATTTTTGATTTTTAGATAAATACTATTATTTGAAATATTTGCATAAACGGTGATTTCATTCCCGACACCGTTCACCCTAATCCGAAAAGATAGTTCGGTGTAGTCACTCTCAGAATGCTTTTCTCACACGACAGCCTTTGGATTCAGCCTTGTGTCTGCCCTCTTGATCCTAAATTTTCATTCAGGAAACGGTGCTGGATCCGTTAGTGCGGGGAACGAGACACCTTTTCCTTGTTCGACCGATAACTTCTTTGACACAGCGGCACAATACACGTCTTCTCCTTGCATTGCCGCTTAGCTTTTAACATCTCAGAGCGTTGCAGTGTAAATATGGCGCCATCGAACTTCACAGTAAATCACATTGCAGCTGTCACACACTGATTTTAAACGTGCCGAGGCTCCGGCAGCCACAGGACGAGAGGAATTTCGCGCGTGTGTGCACCCTCTGGACACGCAGCGCCGCTTGTGGCATCTGAGTGCAGTCATCACATGCGCGGCCACCCTCTCTCGTACGGAACGCGCGCGCTCAGCACACTAGGCAGTACATTTCTAGACACTGTAGTTTGACAGCCGGCATTAAAGGCCGCGCACGTTTCGTGACTTGCTTGCTCGAAGTTCTTCGGTATGTCCCGATTAGGCCGATGTCACCGGCTAGTTTCACCACGCCACCGCTGCGGTGATGCATGCCGGTAGTTAGTCATCCGTCCACACACCCATGTATTCAATGCTGCGGCGGGCCGCACCAAGATTTATTATGGAGGTTTAGAAAAAAGTTCGCTGGCGTTGCAGGCACCATGTGAATTTTAGAATAGCGTTTGCCAACCTCCTAGAGAAACATCTAGGGAATCTAGCCTCCCCGCAAACCCAAATGCACGGAAGCTACACATAGCCTCGATACCAGCCCTTTGCGGGCCTCGCGGGCCGCACGCTATTTCGGATTTTCTGCGGACGGACCGCAAGCGCGAACGGCGGCTCGCGTTACAACGCACGTGCAGTGGCAACGACCGCATCGCAAAGGTCTTCGGTGCGCTATTCTAAACTCACCTATTGACTTTCCTTCATTTTACTCGATGGATGGATTCGCATGTGTTCCTGGATGCTTCAGCTAACAGTTCGAAACGAAAGTACCTCAGATTTTACGTGTTGCCGAAAGAAAGGAAGCTGCGGCACCTTTGGCTGCAGCGTATCAACAGAGCTGGCCAGCAGTCACGGTAAGCGCAGGCTCTTTCATATCACTGCCGCGATACAGCCCAGCCATGTCGGCTGGTGTCTTCCAAACTTTCTATGCTGATAAAGTTGTTTCATCGCGCGTATATAAAGAATCATCGTATCAGGTCTTGTACCCTTACAAATTTGGATAGCATGAGCGGCGTTCTCAACACTTGTGAGGCGTGTTTAAGCCGAACGCTGGGCTAATAATATTGATGCGATTATGGTATGCGCATTTTCATTAACCCGTGTATGCCCAAACTTAGGAAAATTAACAAAAATCATTTATTCGCCCAAAATTATTGCTTCTACGACCTCAGAAAAGAAAGTAGGGATTTTATTAAAAAAAAACACTTTCGAATAATGCTTTTGAAGCCGTCCTATATGTAGAACGCCAATGTTCGCCACACCGCGAACGAAAAACGTTAGCACTTATCATTGTCATATGAAAGTTACTGCACACCCAATAACTGACGAACAATTAACAAATATATCAGCAGCATCGAGGATATGTGACTCTATATATATATTACTTTTTTTTCGCAGTATAGGCGTTCAGCTTACATGCATGCGAAATAGCCATTTTGCGACTGCAAGCACGTTGCTAATTGTAGCCCCGCGATAACCAAGACTTGCATATGATGAGGACAGGGCATCATAAACACACATTAGGTGGTCTTACCTTTTTTACAGAATAAACATTCGGATTACACTGAAAAGTTTTAGCATCCTGCATGTAGGACACTAGGCATGTATGGGTAAAGCTTCGCCTTTAACAGTTGAATGCGATAGCGATAATCTGTCCCTAGTGCATACTTTAAACACTTAGTGCATGACTTCTTTTCGAACTTGCTATGCACCCACTATACGTGGCCATAAGGGAATGGGCGCAGTAGCATGTGTTCCTTTTGAATTGAATTGAAATGTTTATTCACAACAAGTTGCGAGAATGACCAGGCAAAAAAGCTGCATTGAGCAGCTTTTGTTGAGGGTGACCGGCTTTAAGTCATGAAGTCATTCATATATTCACATGTTCTGACGCCCAATGGCAATGTAAGTTTGTAGCACGCGTAATTATTGCAACATATCATGTTGCATTGTGATGCATGCATACGCGTGTTTGTAGAGCATGAAAGTTACTTGCACTGCATTTCAAATCAGAGGACGTTACTTCATCTCTATTCACAAGCAGGAACGTGGCCCTGTTTTTTTTTCCTGCATGGTATTTATTAAACATGTGTTACAACGAACATAGGAAAACACTAATAGCATGGAAGATCGCAGTATGAAAGACACTGGCACAAAGGAGCTTCAAACATTTGGTGGCAAAAATTTTACCGCTTATGCCAGAGGTAAACTACATTTTTACGAACTAAGAACAATGTAGGCCCCAAGAGACACCGCAAGAATATGTGACGTCATGATGTTTACTGTGCCAATTTTGGTACCCACTTAAAACAGGTAATTTTAGTTATTACATTGTTTCGGTCTTTCTCGGCTGTTTCGGTCACGAAGAACAGAATGATTTTTCGCTGGCAACCAACGAAGACAGCCCCAACACCAGAGAACAAGCTCTTAAACGTCATCACGTAAATACTACATATCCTGACGCGAATATTTCTTCTTATATAACTGCAGAGTAATTTTTTTCTTCCGGGAGTCCCTTAACGTGAACCTAAATTCATGTGCACGTGTATTCTGGAATTTCACGAGCCCATCGAAATGCGGCCACAGCGGACCGTAATCGAGACATCATCGGACATTTTCCACGTGGTGCCAATCAAC